AGTTTTTAATTTAGTCTAAGCTACTTTATTCTACTTTTAAAAAGGCTAGAATAAAGTATTTTAAGCTAACTTATTATTTTTAGATTTTAGTTTAAAATAAAGTAATACTTATAAACTTAGAGTATTATAAAGTAAAAAAATAGAAAAGAGAAATTTAACTAGCTAGAAATAGCCTAAGTATATAGCTTTATACTAGTACTACTAGCGTAGAAAAATATATTTATATATAATTTTATAATTTTCTAAATTACTAGATTTTTCTACTAAGATTTCTACTTTCTATAAATATATTATACTTATAAATACTTAGTATAAGCTATTATAGACTAAAATAGTCTATTCTAGACTTTACTTACTTTCTTTTACTTATTATATACTTTTAGAGTTAAATTAAAAGTAATTTACTTTAAAAAAGAAAATAATATTAAGTCTTAGCTTATAAGAGCTTAGACTAACTTAGCTATAAATATAAATACTTTAAAATTACTATTATAGCTTAGTAGTAATTTATTTTTAGTCTTTTTAAAATAATATATCTAATTATAGTTTAATATTATATATCTAGTATTTAACTAACTTTATTATTTAATAATATACTTATATATTTACTTTAGTAAAAACTACTTTTATAAGCTAAATTAGCTTTTATAGTAATATTAAATAATATATAAAAACTAATATTATCTTTATACTTTATAGTTTATAAGTCTTAATATAGTATAGAGTTTAAGCTACTTAGGCTATCTTAAAATAGTAGAAACTAGTATATAGAAGGTAGTATTACTTAGTATAGAAACTAAAATTAAGTAATAAATTATATTTTAGAATAAATTTAATATATTTAATTATATAGAGCTAAAGCCTTATTACTATAAATTAACTTTAAGTTAGTTAGCGACGCGCTACTAAGCCGCATCTCTCGTGTCGTCTCTAAATCATTCCGCGACGTCATTCTTCCCACACGCTGCCCCATCATGGCGAATCCCCCCAACAAGTACGTAGACGTGCGTCTCAACTCTGGTCATCTCATGTTTCATAGTCCTTCTTTTGACTATGCCTCTTTGTCAATTATTAAGATGCTGGGGCCGCTGTACTACTACTAAACTCCACTCATGCTGCATCACCTTGCCGACGATATCATGGCCTCGTCTCGAGATCTGGCCCCTTCTATGAACTGCTGCCTGCGGTGTCCAACATTACGGTGCCGCAACTTTCCGCCCCGATTATCGAAGCATCTACAGGCCGATCAAACGGCTCCATGGATATGTGTGCCTGCCCCGGAACTGGCACAGTTGATGGTCTCCGTAATGGCCTACCCGCACTCCAATGGAACCTTGCATGGTTGAGAATCACGCCGGATGTAAACTCCATGGCATGCCATATGTAGATAGTTGCACGACAGGCGTTTCGGTTCAAGACAGTAGGCCCTGGTGAACTCACGCCGCTCAACAGCATGTGAGGGAGTCGGTTGCATCATTACGCAAATTTGGACCCAAAACCCAAGTCGCTGGGGCTGAAGAGACATCTGAAGTGGGTACAAAGAGACACGACAATCTTCAGTATGGCTAAACTACATCTCCATTGCTTGCACCAATTGTCCCATTATCTACACACAAACCAGACTTCACATCCTATCTTTTGCTTAGTTCTTCGAACCAATTCTTGCATAATTACAAATGCGCATTATTTATCTCTCCCTCCTGCTCTGCGTTGCGCAGGCATTCATCCCGACGTATCTAGCTGACGCTACAACTAGAGACGCTGAGAACAATGCTGCGCTTGAGCAAAGGGAAGACGTCCCTCCTGTCGAGCAGCAAACCGGCATAGCCACAGCTCCCGCACTGAATAGCGACCACTTGTCGCGACATGAGCCGACGCATCACGGTAGCACTGCAGTTCATGGTAACGCAGGCGAGGGTGCCAGCCATGATCCTCCACCAACCCGCGAAGAACACTCTATTTCCCGCCGAGACATCAAGGAGTACATAGCTCTGGTAAAGAAAGATATTGATATCAAGAACTACCACGATTTCTTGAAAAGCAAGGTGGTGCCTGGTTCCTGGATGTACCAGATCGGACCGGACGACAAGATCCTCGGATATGGAAGTCTCAACTTGACACAGGAGGCAAAGAAAGAAGTAGAGGATCACGAAGACACTTCCGGTATGACGGAAGAGCTTCCCGTGGTATCTCTCCGGGCTCTCCCGGCTGAGCAGTCACTCGATGCAGTGTACAAGCGGTCAGAGGCGATCGACAGAAGAGAGAAGCTCGTTTCCAGAGCTTTGACATGGAAGAAACAGGAAAACGCCGATGACGCTCTGCTGATGGATAGTCTGTATCCGTACGTATGATATATCTCCACAGCTCTCATTAGCCAACTAAAAGTGTACGATCTAGGGGGGGTTCACTCAGCCAGGCCACCGATTTTGTGTACCCCGAGAATCCTGGCAGGGATGTATATGTATATTTGATAGACATGGGCGTCCAGATCAAAGTCAAGAATGTGAGTAAATGAGCCCAAGTCTTTCACATCGTTAATAATGTCATCACAGCGTGACGATGAGTTAGAGTTCAAGACAGATAACGACCTCGTACTCCAATCCAGATCATCTATCGAAAACCACCAAAGTCCAGATTCGGATGACAATGTTGACAAGCCATCGCACGGGACTTATGTCGCGTCAAAAGCCGTGGGCAAGAAGTATGGGCTTGCAAAAGAGGTACGTTGCTGACGCTTTACGACCTTATCAAGTCTTCTGGTGCCTGTCTTTTGTCGGACGAGCTTTCCTAGGCATGATCTTCTCTTTCATGGTCTCCCATGTCCATCTAGGTATCTACTAAGTATTTAGAACGGCTCGCTAACATCCTGGTCACATCCTGCAGGCGAATCTTGTGTCATCAAAAATGTACCCCAAATCTGGCGACTGGGAAAACATCATGTATTTGATTCTGAGAGACATCAACAGTCACCCAGGCCGTGCTTCGCGGAGCGTGGTGACCACATCAATTGCCATCGGCTTAGGCGGAATCACACCTGAGGCAGCTAAGAACGACAAACAGAAGCAAGAACTGTACGGAGATGATCTCCGTACACTGTCCAAACTTGGGGTACCTTTTGTCGCAGCCGCAGGCAACGCAGCCAAGCAGCCGAACCGAAAAGATGTCGACCAAATTCCAATGGTTCTTCAGGATGATGACATCCCTCTCATCATCGTCGGCGGTTGCGACGATGAAGGTAATCGAGCCGACTTCTCGCAAGCCGGTCCACTTGTCAGTATCTATGCGCTGGGTGATCGAGTTGATTGCCAATCAAAGGTGGACAAGGAGCGGACAGTTCCAAGTGGCTCTTCGTTAGGTAAGCGATCTCTCCCAAGAATGCGGCTGAGAAGCACTTGATATTGACCTGCGATTTCAATATAGCTGCACCTCAGGTCGCGGGCCTCATTGCTACATACCTCTCCTACTCGACCAAACCTTGGGACGACAGCAAGACTGGTGTGGAGCGCGTCAAAGCTATTCGTGATTATATTACCAGTGATCGTTCAAGCTGGGTGAGGGGCTCTGACAGCAACATCCGGGTGATCTGGAATGGTGCGACAAAGGCCGACCATGGGGACGATGACGATGACGATGACGATGAAAGCCCGACCGACTCGAGTCCAACTTCATCGAGCCCTATGCCTTCGGCAACACCATCTCGCAAGAACAAAGCGCTTTCCATCATTTTCCAAAACTACATCGATGGCATTTCGAACGAGAACACCTGGTTGTTCTTCAACAGCGATTACGGCGAGTCCTCCGAATGTCGTCTTGACACGCAAGCCATGAAAACTGTACCAGCAGAAGGCAATGTCGATAACCCACCTTGGCCTGCTGGTACGTACGAACTGGGCAAACTCATCGACAGCAGTAGTTGCGATTATCTCAACGATGGAACCAATCCTGGATCTCTTTGGTGCCAAGATTGGGATGCACCACCTACAAAGCAAGGCGAACCCGCTTTGCCCAAGGACCGAGAGATCAAGTGTAAAGCGGAGGAGGTGAGATACAAGAGTGGAGCTGAGGGCTGTTCAGAGTCCATGATGGGCATCTATCGTCATGCCGTCGTTACGTGTGACTGGTAGCTATCGCCAACGGTGCGGTAGAGAGATGCTAAACAGCCTTTTTCGGTATTTCTTTCGCTGAATTGTTTTGTCCGGTCTTTTCCTTCTCGATACCTGATCCTCAGTCACGCTCGCTTTTGTTTGCGACATCTACTAGCTCTATGTTCTTGCTGAATACAACACGTACGTCGAAGCGTTGCTTGTGTGCCGATAAGCCCAGAAACTTCTAGATCAACTTCATATTCACATACACCTTTGGTATGAGTATGCTAAGCCGATGCAAAGACAAGCAGATTACGCCGTCAGTGGAATCCACTTGCCATCTTCGTACGCGTGGCTGCTCCGTTCAACGCGATGTTGTGAGAAGGTGACGCGTGTGCACGGCTCTGAGAGCCGGGCCATAGAACGCCCGTGTAATCTCCCTAGTAAATCCGTGGTATCTCCGCCCATCAATGCGACCACGATCGTCATTCTTCAGTGCGATGCACGCCAGCATCCTCGATGATTGGGCAGCCACGGAGGAAGCTGTAAAGACGAACATCTGCGGGTCCGCGCTGCTTCATGAACGAAAGCTCCGCGATGTGCAGATGACATACTCGATGCCGCGCAGTACAACAGATTAGGCCATCAACGATTGACACCATACCGAAGAAGTGTTCGAGATTTGCGAAGGAAAGATTAGCGAAAGACCTGAAAACGCACTTAGCAGTTTGTGGCCTGTGAAAAAAATAATGGGGACAGCAACGTAGTTGAGTCATGCAGCTCACAACAAACCATCAGCGGTGGGTCATGAGAGCGAAAGGGGCGATTGAGTAAAACTTTGTTCATTTTTCTTTTTGCTGCTATGCCCAACTTTGAAGTATTCATGCGGGTCAGGTGCTATGTAGATCATCGAGATCAAACCCTCAAACTCGCTACGTTTTGAGCCAAGAATTCGTGTGTATCACCCCTAAAGTCATCGTCGAGGTAGCTGTTCTTATTCGCTCCAAAGTTGATCAGCTTCCTGCCCTCACTCCACTTCGGCCAGTCCATAAAAGTGTTGCCCTCATTGGGGTCCAAGTCGTAGACGAATGAGTAGTAGTAACCTCGAATAGTCTTCGCGGCATTGTTGGGCAAGATGCCATTGAAAACTTGCAGGATGTCGGAGCCATGGAATGTTCCTAGAATGGGTGTACCGAAATCGTATGTCGCGAGATAGGACCAGGATGGTACATCGGGTGCGACTTGACCAGTGACTTCCAAGAAGAGGCGACGTGTGAGGGTGAAGGTAACGTCGCCGAGAATAGCGGAGACGCGCTTGAATTGCGGGTAGAAGTTGTTGAGCAGGCCAGTGCGGAAGGGCGAGCCGTCCTCGGTGATAGTTTGGTAGCTGCCTACTAGCTGTTCGACTTGCGCTGGTGAAGCATTCTGGAAGAAAATGGTTGAGAGATAGGTCGTTACTTCCTTGGTTGTAGTCAAATTCGAAGTGAAGAGACCAAAGAGAGTACCCTCGTCTTCTTGGTCACCAACGATGAAGGGTACTTTGGCGTACTTTCCAGCTTTGACAAGGGCATCGGGAGAATCCGAGAGTGCCTTTCCATCGGGGCGAGGGAGGTAGGAAAGATTGACTGTGAAGTAGCCCAAGATACCCGGGACAGTATTGGCGGCATTGAGGAACTTGGTGTATGGCACTGTGCGGAGACAGACCAAGGTATCGGCGGAGCTGGCACATCCAGCTGCTTCAACGACCTGCAAGGAGTTAGCATTGTGCTTAGCAGCAACGAGTAGAATTGAACACATACCCTGTCGTAAATCGCTTGACCTTTGGGGCAGTCAACGGGATCAGCTGGAACTATCGAACCCGAGTTCATGATGCCAGCTCTGAATAGCGGCTTGCCATTGTAGTTGTTGTCGCCATCGTAAAGCATCATCTGATCCAACACGGAGATAGCACCTGCAGACTCTCCCCAGATCGTGACCTTCTCAGGATCTCCACCGAATGCGGCAATGTTGTCAGCAACCCATTCCAAGCCCAATCGTTGGTCTAGTAGCCCTAGATTGGCGGAGCCATCGGCGAGTACCTCTTTCCCAGGCATGAAGCCAAACCCGCCCACGCGATAGTTGACCGCAACAAATACGATGGGCTTGCCTTGAGCGACTGATTCGGCTACAAGGCTTGTTCCATCATACATTGCAGTAGATCCAAGTTCGAACCCGCCACCAAAGATCCAGAATAGTACCGGAAGTTTATCGCCAGCTTTGGTACCAGCGGGGCGCTGTACGTTGATAGTAAGGCAGTCTTCTCCAGCATTTGTGACGGTCTGGAGAAGTGGTAGGTTTAGGATAGTGCCTAAGACGTTGGTGGGGATATTCCTCTCATCTATGCTGAAGAAGAACTGTGGGCATGCTTTTGGAATGCCGGTTCCGTCGACCTTTCCCAGGGAGGAAGTTATGGGCTGAGGTGGCTTTAGTCGTAGCTGATCGATCGGAGGCTGTGCGTATGGTATGCCTTTGAAAGACTCAACACCCAATACGTTGATGCCAGCAACCGTGGCTTGAGGCGAGGGAGCAACGACGGTAGGGTTTGCTCGTTTTTCCAGCGGTGCTGGGACTGCTAGAGCCAATGGAAGCAACGAAAGAAGGGTTGCCAGCTTCATAGTGAGTAGTTGTGCGTTCGACTCGTGGCTGTCGAATCAAATGAAGTTCTTGCTTATAGTGAATGCTTCTACCATCGCTGTGCAACGCACGATACTTAACTTGCCCGGTGAAATAGATGTCACAAGCCAGAGACTACGCTTCACAACGAACCTCGGACAATGTGGAAGTCTATTGCGTCCGGACGAAGAGCGATGTGGAAAGATTCAACGTAAGCTCAAAGACCGCCGTGGCTGCAGATACACCCATGCTTCAATAGCATCCTCCCGGAATTTTGGGTTGCAGATCGCTCTCATTTTGATGGAAGTGGGGTCTGACAGCCTTGTGAGGTGACACGGTGCATGGAGAACATCGTGCGCTGACCTATCCGAACTCGCAGTTCAGAGCATCAGCCAGGGGAAAGAGCCACAATAGGCTTGGATCGTTGGTGGATAGCTTCCGGCGCGTATTGTCTAGGCAGCTGGTCATGAGGTGTCGGCGCATCTAGCGGACGAGTAGTAATCCAGAGTTTATGGTTTTGCGCCACATCAGTCTTTACACAAGCCGTCCTCGGAACGTTCTCTGTTTGCGCTTTCGACAAAACGCGACTAACCTGAGTGCACCGACTATGAGATGTGTAGTGGAGGGACGTGCAAGGTAGGATATCGACGCCAAGAGTGGCATTGACTGCCGGACCGCAAACGGATGCATTCTCCCGGTCTGTGGGTGGGTGTGTCGACTGAATCGCCATCGTTGTTAACAGCTCGGGAACCAGCCATAAACCGTTGGTTTGTATTCTGATGACGGAGATGCTACCTTTCAAGGGGTAACTACTTCGCCCCGCGTGAACAAAATGCGGGGTATCCACGATGGGTCTCCCCACGATCTCGGCGAATCCATCGCTCGATATATTGGTGTTCAGCGCCTTACTTGCGGGCAAGGCTGACGCCTCGGTAGTAGAGAGGCGCCACAAACTTACGCAAAATCAAATTGCATGTGAGAAGACTCTGAGAGGTTTCGAGAACTCAGCGCACCGCGCCAACGCCCGGGTGCACTCCGATGGCTGATGGACGTGGAGCCGGTAACGGTAGTTGATGCTAGCGGAGCGTATTCATCCGTATCGAAAGCTTTGACAAATCTTGGAATGAAATTCACCGTGCATTCGGTATGGGCGCGCTCGCTGAGCTCGTGTGATAAAGGCAAAAAAGGCTGCTATGACGTGGCCATACGTCCCACAGACTCAGTAGGATCGGATGCAAAGGAATACAGGGAGAAGAAAATGCTGTCAAATTTCTCAACAATGCGAGTCCGCATGTTGGGAGTCGCATCCGTGAAAGCTCAGATGCGAGGCACGCGAGAGTACCCCAGATTTCCATCTCAGCTTTGGGGGCCAGTGCGGGATTACTAAGCGTTATCTCCGACTCAATCGCGGCTTGGTCCCAACGCAACACTAATTCTCCAATTTCCATCACGACTGTCGGATTTGCTATGAGCCATCTGGACTTGCGATCAAAACGACATAAACAGGTCGGTACTTATCTTCAGTCGCACATAACATGTGACCAGCATCAAAACAGCTACGAAGACTGTTCCATCATCTTAGCCTCATCGCCATCTCTACCTAGGTAGCAACCCATTCATCTACAAGATAGCGGAGGAACACGGCAATCTCAAACTGCTGCGATGGAGCACACCTGCTTTAGATATCTGAGCTACGTATACGGTATCAAGAATGAGCGCTGCCACTGTCTCTCTTCGTAGCTATCTGCTGAGGCGACTTATGCCACTTCGCTACGGACGCAAACTTGTTGTTGGGTAACTTCCTGGCACATCTCTGGCTATAGTTCTGTGTCCATATCGAGATACATTCAAGGTTTGAGGTCAAACAAAGCGAAGTAATGGTCCCACAAGGGACGATACATATAACCAGCGCTTACATGCATCCGATACTACGCGGTGGTAGGTGTCACTGTGCGTGCTTACGTGCGTAGGTAATTTCCCGGTCGTCGGGGGCCTGAGGGATAGATTCGGTCATCCCTAGCGAATTCTCCTGCGCGAATGTCTCGGCCGCACCATCTCCAATGTCATATTTTAACATCGAGGTTGAGCCCATTCGCTATAACAGCCGATGTGTTGGTTTTACCGAGTGGGTCTCCTTATTCACTTTGTGTCTTGCCCCGTTGATCGCGGTAAGTTTAGCCTGGACTATGTTCCTGCATGAAGACAGAGTACTGATGGAAGTCGTGCTTTAGCACATCGTATCCGGCACACCTACAATAACGTATCTGACGGATCGACGCCCTAGGTGGTACGATCGGCTGTGCAGCTACAACCCGACATCTATAATCTGGAGATACGCCGCGATAGCCGATCGGCGCATTCGCGCTGTCCAGTGGAGTCGTCATGATTTAGCAGCCACCAACGCGATATTCTGGACCTCGAACGGATGGAATGGCGGGGAAGAGATGGTTACGACCTGTGCTCCGCACTGCTTACGCCTGTCAGAGCACACCCACGTTGAAGTAGCCTCATTGACAACATTGAAAACCGTCATCACAACACTCCAAGGCGTGTCGGCACTCTATTTACTCATTGGTGCCATGTCCGGAGCCGCACTTCCCGGCGTCGCTATTGGATTCGGTATCGACGCCGTCTTCTTCCCGTTGGCCATTCTGGGTCTTTTGCGATTATGCGCTGCGACGTGGCTGACAGAAGACTTTGTATACCAGCGAGACGGCTCACGGAACCTCACGACAATTGTGCAGACGCACCGGACTCTCTTGCCCAAGGACAGTGACATGGAACCCGATCAACAACCGACAGCATTGGAGCCGCTCATAACAGCGCCATTTGAAACAGCTGGTTTCAAGTCTCCCGCAGCATCCTGGAAAAGCCGTCTCTTTCGCACCTTCTTCCTTCTTCTCCTCGGAGGAGTTTGGACATTAGCAGTCCTTATCTTCACCCCAGTATTAGGAGACACGTTCTTCACCACAACAACTTTTCTGCTCGGATTGTTTTACTTCGTTTTTATCACCGTTTCCCTCGTATTGTACGCCTTCTACTTCATTCGCGGTCAAACGACGACTACGATTTTACCCTGTATCTCGAGCACCTGGTACCGGATCTATACTCTGCTGCTCATGGGTCTTATAGTGGTTCTCATCGTTATTGCAAGTATAGAAACGAACAAGAGTCCCACGGGGTTGTACACTAGTGCGCACTTGGGAACGACGTTGGCATGTGCGGACTCCAGCCAGTGGTGGCAATTACCGCCTCCCAGTCGGTGGATAGGAGTTGCGACAGACAAAGAACTGGATGGAAGGTGGCTGAAGCGGAATCAGACCAGCCTGGTTGTTAAGGGTGCCCAAGACACGGAATTCTGGTTGTACAACTTCACTGGCTTCTGCATGGGACATGTCAACGATATGTAAGGTGCTGAATTTGCGCTACACTCGCTGGCGCGTTTTGTACCTAGGTAGTATCAGAAAGCTTTGGACCGAATCTGGACTAATCAAGGCTACCCAAGTAGAATTTGAGCAATGCGATGATGAGCTCATGCCCATTAACCAATTTGAAGTACCTAGGTACCTAGGTAGCCGAACAAACTTGCTCACGAGTACAAAAATCAGGCTTGAGCATGAGTGTATATCCCAGAAGAGTGCGTAAATAAGCCCTCTCTGAGTTCAGTACACATTCACTTCATCGTTGCGCGTCGGCCCGTGGAGTTAGCTGGTGACAAGCCGAAACGGGTTAGTGTCATGACGTAATAGCAGCTCGGCCTAAACATTCTCGCGGTCGGCGCGCACTGCAGACATACGGCAGCCATTGCGGTTCCCTTGGCCAGCAGCAAATCGTCGCGCGAACTACTACACAAGTATAATGTCCCAACTTGCCTCAAGTAGCGCGAGGTTCTGCTATTCCAACGAAGCTTCTCAGACCAGCAATTGATCTACTCTGACGCGAACTCACCACCCCGCGTATACATACTCAACCACCAGTAGCGATGCCGAATCCTACAGATATCCCGTCCTTCGCCGCCTCGCAGCTCACGCTGCTCGATGCCGAGCTTCAAGCCGAGCTCTCCGAAACGAACGCGCTTCTCTCGTCACACACGCCTACCGCCCTCTCACGCGCCGGTCTCGCGATCCTGAACCTTAACATATCTTCTATACGGACAGGGCTGGGCGGCAAGACCGTGGTCGAGCTAGGACTGGATTCGGCAGTTGTCGCTAAAGGCGAGAAGCCGGACATCCCAGAACACGGCATACGCGTGGGCGATATAGTCGCGGTTCAAGACCAGCCCAGCGGGAGCGCGAAGAAGACGGAAAAGAAAGAGCTCGAGAAGAAGGGCGCCTCGGGCGTAGTTCTCAGGGTACGCAGGGAGAACGTGGAAATTGTACTGGACAAAGAGGACGCAGATGTGCCTACTGGCGGCAAGCTATGGATGTTAGTTTACACATTGTGGGCGGCTGTGCTGGGCATCAGAGGGCTGATTTGTGTACTAGAGTCAAACTGGCGAACGACGTCACCTACAAGAGGTACGTCTTTGCTGAATGCACCATTTCAACCTCTCCCTGAACTCATATATGATAGGATGAACCAAACGATGAATAGGCTACAGAAGCTCGGGGATCAAGAGTACACAGCCTTCATGCGCGTACTCTTTGGACAGGCATCGCCTACGCCCCTACCTTCAGACCTGAACGACCCATCAAACCCCCTCCATAAGCTTGAGTGGAACGATCCATCTCTCAATGACAGCCAACAAGAGGCTATCAGATTCGCGCTAGCGTCCCGAGAAGTCGCGCTGATCCATGGCCCTCCAGGCACAGGCAAGACGCACACGCTGATAGAGCTTATACTCCAGTTACTCAAGCAGAAGCTTCGCTTGCTGGTATGCGGTCCATCGAACATATCCGTAGATAACATTGTTGAGCGTCTAGCATCTCATAAAGTGCCTATGGTGCGCCTCGGGCATCCAGCACGCCTCTTACCATCTGTTTTGAACCACTCGCTCGACGTG